GACTGTCGCCAGACCCAAGGCCACAAAATCTAAGACATTACATCTATGATAAAATATTTTTCCGTGAAATTTCGGGGGTTCTGGATAAATTGTGAATAAAACACTGAAAAATACTCTTTTAGAGGTATTTTATTATATATTAGTCATATTGTAAATTAAAGTAGATCATGCAAAGACCACGGCTGTATCTGAATGTTCTGTTTGTTTGAATATATGGAGACGTAAATTTTACTATATGTAATCATTATTTTATTTTGTTATTTAATAAGTCGGAGCAAATGAATACAATACAGTTAGCTATAACTTTATTGGCGTAACTACAAATAAGTGTAATATTTATCCACTTGAAAAATTGATAATCTGACACCAAATACCTGATTTTGTGCTTTAACACAAAGCTTTATTGCTTTATTAACCACTTTTCATTAAGCTGGTTACAGCATAAGCGCAGTGAAGGTTCAAATGCATAATTTGAATTTAAGTAAATCCGCTGGATTATTCTTGTTTTCCATTAATTATGAGTCAACAACCTGGATTGCCTAAATACAAATAAGTAATTCGTCCAGCCGTTTATATCTTACCTAAATAAGACATCCGTTACAGAAAATCTCGGTACAAATGAAATTGCTTCTAAACTGAGTGACCATTTAAAGCACGAGTCAAACTCTCTTTCATATGATGGGAACCGTGGAAGCTGAAATTGACGATCTTACTCATTCTTTTAAGAAGTATGCATATTTAGTCCGTCCAACCTTGGCGATAAACTTTTCTAAAGTTTCATTTTGTTCATCTTACTTAACGCATTTGCTTATCAAACAAAATGCATGCTGGCCGGAGTGCCTAGGCACTTATATGTAGCTTAATCAAAGCAGTGAAATTTTTTTTACTTTCTATATATTAGATGGATAATCACGTTTCAAACTGCCTAATTCAGCATCTATTCAACATTTCATTAATTGAACTTCGTCCCCCTGGAACATAAAGAATTTATGTTATTGCTCAAAGTCATGCCTAATATTGCTTATTTGTGTAATCTTAGTTGATAATGATCAGTTTGTTTTACTGCACATGAGAACCCCCTACAAAGCGTAAATAAATGGATATTGTAGTAGAAATTTTCTTCACGAGGATGGATGGAGCTGCTCCTTTGCTATGTGGACTGTGCAGATAATGCTAGTCATAATCTATTGGCCTAGCTGAGAATATACAAACGAGTCTTTCTTTTTTTCGATTTTAAGCAATCTAAGTAGTCTGTGTCAATCCTTTGAGTACAACGAACTAGAGTAGATTTGGAGGCGAAAATAATAAAAACGCCATCAGTTATGTAAAACCCAAGGATGAAAGCTTAAATATACTTGCAAATGTATGTTATGCTATACTTCATCTCTGGGAATCTTAGAGGAATGTGCACCATTCTGCCTTCTCAAGCCACTTTTGAGATGCAGCGGATGAACTATTCGTTTCTCTCTTATTCATTGTCTTAAATTGGTCACCATGGCTCTAAGCATGGATGATGCCGGAGAAACATTCAGGAATAAATCTACTCGAGAGTGCTGTATAAAGTCTGTCATAAGCTATAGTATCAAGTTATCGTGAGCTTCTGTGTTGTGAACCACTTGTTCGTCTAGCAACTACCTGGATCCGGTTGTTGTAAAACTATCCATATTCTGACAGCATGATTTAGTATTGCTAGCAATGTTGGCCAGGTTAACTCAAGAGAAAGCTTGATTCTACTCAGTATTTTATAATTACATCATTTCCAGAACGTCAATCCTATCCAGGATGGGCTGAGGTTTGGATTTCACCATTATTTTATTGGGCCACATCAACCAGAATATAACATTCGGTTTATCGATAAAGAGACTGTCACATCAACACCCAGGCAACACGATCCTAACAACCACCTTGAGTTACACCAAGTCTGACCTTCAAGGCACCGTCATGTATTGCAGACCTAATAGTTTTTACTAGCGTATTTTACCTGAGCAGTAATCTGGCTACCGATAAACGATAGACATTATTAGTAAGTACCACATCGTGTTGAGGTCGATGGCGAATCCATGGCTGATTAACGGTACACAATTGTCATAAAATGATGAGTTTCGAGGGTGTTACTTGACCTTTATCTTAAGGGGTCAAGGTTCCTGTTATTTGGATGGCTCTTACCAATCATATCAATTTTCACATTTAGTAGGTGGATGCTAATGAAACCAAGTTGAGATTAAAAATGGCCTCACAACCGAATTGCAAACACCGTTTGAACATGATGGCTTAGTGAGATCGAATATACACGATATGCTAATAGTAGAATAAAAACTCATTTTGTATCGTTGAATCTTGGCCGCATTCCATCTACAAGTTGACTATTTTCCCATAAAAAGTTGGTTTACATAATAACGGTCGATCTTGAATAAGGATTAAAGTCCCCCTTGGTTGCATTAATTGATGAAAGAAGGATAATTAAATTTTTCTTAGAACGCCAATTGATAATTGCGATTCAATGGCTTCATAAGATACATGGGAAGATTCCAATATTGGTCTTTAGATTACCTTAAGCGATTTTGGGAGACTAGGTTATTATTAAGTAATTACTGACAGTTGCAAAAATTACTCGCACAAAGTATCAGTTGCATTGTGAATTAGCAAATACTTAATTGCCCTGGGTAGCTACAGCTACTATGCTATTGTCTGAAGTCCAATAAAATGCATATGAATAACTGATAAGAGGTAATTTTAGCCGGACTCTTTGTCAAGCATCAAGGCGAGTATTCTGTCAAGTTTTTCTCATATCTCCCG